GTTATTAGTGTCTCTTAGGTTTGTGTATTTTCAAAAAATTAGTTTTAGTTATTAATGTCTCTTAGGGTTGTTTCTTTTCGAAAAAATCGTTTTATGGTTATTAATACATTCTAAGGTTGTATTTCTGAATAGTTATTGTTTTGTTGTTATTAATTCATCTTAGGATTGTATTTTTTCTAGAAATTTCGTTTAATGGTTATTAATGCATCGTTGGATTACGTCTTTTCAAAAAATTGGTCTATCTAAAATTGCATATTTTCATAAAGTTGCATCTTTTGAAAAAAACCATTTTATAAATATAATGCATTATAGGATTGTGTCTTTTCAAGAATAAACCATTTTTATGGTTATTAATTCATTTTAGAGTTGCGTCTTTTTGGGAAAAAATGTTTTAATAGTTATTAATGAATCTTATACAGTTGCCTCTTTTCGAGAAAATGGTTTTATAGTTATTAATTAATTATATAGTTATGTATTCTTTGGAAAACTCATTTATTGTTGTTAATCTATTATATGGTTGCGTCATGTTTTGGCAAAATTTAACCAGGTTCGCAAGTACACAGATCTACGGAATGGTAAAGAGAAGTATAGTTTTATTAATCAACGAAGTAGGCTTGTAGTCGAATAATATTACAACGTCTAGAGGTCTAAAGCGTTATAAAGAATTTCGTTGGACGCAGAAAACAAGACTAGATCTCCGGTTGCTATCTCAGGATGCTGTAAAGATGTAGCTCTTAGGGTTTTCTCTGCGTTTTTCTGATGATCCCCTTCTCTACTCGACGTCCCCCTATATATAGGACTTCCTCAAATCCGTTTTGGACTAGGATTCGACTTGACGTGCAAGCTTATCTCCTTAATAATCGGGATTCTTGATATACTTGAATCATATTATGAGGTCTAGATAATGACAAACCTAATAATACTTGATATTGCGAAATCTCTACAAGTCTATCTTAAAAGTCATGTATTGTTTTATATCAAATAAGGTTAACTAACCTTATAACGACGTCGTAACGACGTTATCGACTTGATGACAACGTGGTAATGATGCCTTACTCGTTACTGACGAGTCATTTCTTCATTTTACATGACATACATGACGTATTGCCAGGTATTAGCAGGTTATTACATGACGTTATCTTGCGTAAACAATCCCTCGTCAGGTATTAGTAAGTTATTACTCTGGTTTACCTGGCGTAGACGATGTATTGTCAGGTATAAGCAAGTTATGACCTCATTCTACCTGTGGTAGATGATGTATCGTCAGGTAAAGGCAAGCCATGACCTCGCTTTACCTGACGTAGATGATGTATTGCCAGGTAAAGGCAAGTTACGACCTCGCTTTACTTGACATAGATGATGTATTGGCAATATCTGACTTGGTTATGACAAGTCATTARCTTGTTMTACCTGACATAGACGACGCATTGTCAGGTAGTAGCATGTCATCAGCTTATTAAACCTGGCCAAAATAGTGTAGAGCCAAGTCTAATGTTCTAACCAGCACTAACCAAGTCATACTAAGTAGTGAATTTATTTTCTCCAACAGTTTGCCCCCAACTCTTTAATTTCTTATTTAGAACTTGAAGAGTAGTTAACTTAGAGCTTGGTGTGGTGGATTTCGTCTGGCGACGTATCGTCTAGACTTGTAAGTTGCGTTTTTCGTGTTATGTACGTATACATATGATTTTACGTCTAGAGACATGTAGACTCTCAATCTGTTTTGATTTAATGACGTCAAAGTTCATGGAGAAACAAGTATTACGTCCATTTTATGACATTGAGATGTCTATGACGATGTACATGTGAATAACATGTCACGTTAGAAAAGATGTGTTACTTCAAATCGACCAAGTCTACGAGAGGAAGTATTTATTTCTTCAGGTTGTGGTACATTGGCTGCTATCGAGCATTTTTCATGCTAGCTAAAGTCAATAAACTCGCAGTTCCTTGTGATAGAACAACTTTTGGCGAGCTAAAGTATTTTATATTTGACAAGTTGCAAATTCATCTCATGGATGTTTTCGCCTTGTTTACATTGATGAGGTTCCCGACTATAGTTGGTGAGGTTTAGGGAGGAAGAATTTGCATGGATCAAGCTCATGGTGAGGTTCCACTTATTGTTTGGAGGTTTTCATAGACTTTACCTCTTCCTCTACCAAGTAGTACTTGATTATGACCGTATTCAACATGTCTTGAGGTCATACCTTGTGATTTAGCTAGTAGTGAGTATTCTAATCACTCTTTAGGGAGGTCATACCTCTTAATGACAAGTCGTTGTGGTTTTCATAATCACTTGGAGGTAGTCTTTTCTGATCTTTCATGTAACGACAGTCGCTACTTTTCTATTTGGGAGGTTTTTGTAACAAGAATTGACCTTGTAGACTAATTTACAGCCTTTTAGACTTGTAGTTGTTTAAAACCTTATAGAGAGGACTTCCTACTCTCTTTATTTATTTCAGATATTATTAATCAATCAGGTCTACAACGCTCATGTTTGGCACACTTTTGGTCAGACGTTGCTATATGTTTAGCATTCATCTAGGGTGTTGCTCCAAACATCATGTTGTCGTGTTTTTTAGAGGTCTTGCCTCTCGTTTTAATGTGGTAACGAATGTTTTCGTAACCTAAGGAAGCCGGTATCTTTTCGTCTACCTGACTATATTCAATACTTTGCGAGGTCGTACCTCTTTATTTATTTGGAATTAACTTCGTTGAGCATTTTCCGGGAGGTCGTGCCTCGTAATTTATATTGTTATAATGATTGTCACAAGTTCGAAGCGTCCCTCTTCGTCT